GGATATTGAGGTGAGGGAATGAGGGACTGGATATTGAGGTGAGGGAAGGAGGGCCTTGACACTGAGGTGAGGGAGTGAGGGACTGAAATCAGACATTATGGTGGGAAGCAGGCAGTTGACAGCAGGAATGTGCAGCACATTAGTATATTGTTGACGGTGTGGTCAATGTAGCAGACAGGGATTAGGAAAAGGAGGAGTTGAAGTCAGAGCTTGGGCATGAACTGTTTTACCTTTATCACCATTTCGAATGTGAAGACTCCAGTGAACACATAGTCAAAGTACCTGAGCACCTGTCAGAGACACACAGAGAGACAGAAAACTCAGTGAAGAGGTTACACAGCAATCAAACACTCTCTTTCTGATCGGAGGCTAGTTCCTTGTTTACAATCTCCCCTTCCCAATTCTCTGTACACCTGACCATGAGGACTTGTAGCCACTAGGGCCTGCAGCTGGACTCTGGTGTTCCTGAGCTGTTCCCCTGAAAGGCCAGAAGTATAACTTAGTTAATCCCTCACCTGCCCATCAGTGATATTTGCCTGACACCACTTCAACATTTAGATGCAATGCAAACAGGCCTCTCAACATATGGGACTGTGGGCAGAGAATAATTGATACAGGAACACACACACACACACACCCCTACTGTAAATCACTTCACCCCCGTCATTTGTACATCACTATATCCTCCACTAACTGCATTCTGCTGTACAGATAGACCCTGCTTGCTTCCATAGTACCCTCCTGTTTGTTTCTGATATTGCTTCAACAATCCAAGATGCAAAAACAGTTCAGATATTGCACTAAAGTGTTGCTTTGTATGGATGAAAACGAGGATCTTAACTGCTTCATAAAATGTGCTGATGTTTGATGGTGGAGAAGAATGTTTCATTAGGCAGCTAGCAAAATCAGCATTTAAGAAAACTGATCATAGAAGCTTTCTCTTTCATGTCACATTGTCCATTTAAACAAGAAACATGCCAAAGTTTAATACTTGCTTTAGTACTTTGGAGCCTATATTTTGTAACTTGATAGACATGATGGTTAAAAAGTGATTCAGAAACATTAAATGTATCACAATATCATTTCATCATTCTTTTCACAGAGGTAGAGCTATGTAGCAGCATGAATGGGGCTTACTGTTGTCAAGAAGTTGCTTATTTTTCAAGCTGTTGTACTGATCCGCAAAATTAACTTTTTTTTGTCTTCTTCCTGAAAGTCCATTTTCCTTCAATATCAAAAATATGTTTCTTTGCTTATTTTCAAGCATTAAATGTTTGACCTCTCTGATACTCTCCCGATTCATGAAGAATGCAGGAAGAAATGCCAGGAGCAGTGCCAGGCATTCCTGGTGAAGGACTATTTGCATGCCAAACAGCATGAGCAGCAAAGGGGAAGACAGAGCTAAGCGATCCCACAACCAACAGTTTAGATCTAAGCTTTGCAGTCCTATAACATCCAGTCGTGAATGGTGCTGGACAATTAAACAGCTCACTGGAGGAGAAGGCTTCACAAATATCCCCATCCTCAATGATGGAAGAGCCCAACACATCAGTTTTTATTTTAAGATGCATAAGACAAAATAGAGCACAGATTGTGTATTTTAGCTCTTCAATGACCCCAGCTGGGGAAAATCTTCATTATCTCTTTTTTTAATTGTCGCGTGGGAAGAATCCACTCCAGCATCTTGATCACCAAGTCTATTTTCAAACTTGCCCCCATCTGCTCTAACTGCTTAAAAACCGAAAGAACTGCGGATGCTGTGAATCAGGAACAAAAACAAAGTTGCTGGAAAAGCTCAGCAGGTCTGGCAGCATCTATGAAGGAAAAATCAGAGTTCACGTTTCGGGTCCGGTGACCCTTCTTCAGAACTCAGTTTTTGTTCCCGCTGTAACTGCTCGTGTGTCTTTATCCTTATATATGCCATCAGCAATCCCAGCAGAGAATAAGCTGGAGAAACGTGTGAATGAGACAAAACATAGTGAATACCGGAAAAATACCGCAGGCTTGGCAGCATCTGTGAAGACAGAAACAGAGTTAACCTTTGAGTCTGGTACAGCTCTTCTTCAGAACTGAAAGGTGTTAGAAATTTCTTTTAAAATTTTGGATAGAGACAGAGGAGGAGGAAGGGGAGCAGATGGTGTGGAGCCCCAACGCAATAGACAAAGAGAATGTTAATGATGGAGAAAAAAGAGATGGACAACTGGTGTAAATTAAGGTGCGGGAGGGAGAGATTTGGTCCTTGCTACTAAGTGCAAAATTAACAAGATACAAACAAGACACAACTGAGGAATGTAACAGAAAGGGAGAACAATATCAATGCAGTCAGTTTCTGAAGTTATGGAATTCAATGTGGAGACTGAGATGGTAAAGTCCCTCAGCAGAAAATGAGGTGGTGCCCCTTGGTTTAGTTGTGCTTGAGTGGAACATTGCAGAAGGTCCAAGATAGAAATGTCGGCTTGAGAGCAAGGTGGGTTATTGAAATGGCAAACAACTGGGGAGTCAGGGTTATTCCTACAGACAGGGTGGAAGTGTTCCTCAAAGTGGTCACCTGGTCTGTATTCAGTGTCGCTAATGCAAAGGAGACCACAGTGTGAGCAGCGAGTATCGTAGATCAGATTGAATGAAGTACAAATGAAACACTACTTCACTTGGAAGGTGTGTTTGGGACCTTGGAAGGAGTGTTACATCTTCTGTTAATGCGCAGCAAGGTGCTGTTGGGGGCTGTGAGAAAGTGTTAGGAGTGATGGAGCAATAAACCAGGCTGTTACAGAGGGAACAGTCCCTGTGATATGCAGACAATGGAGTGGAAGAGGAGATGTGTTTGCTGGTGATATCCTGGTAGAAAGTAATCCTTTGAATGTGGAGACTAGTGGGGTGTGAAGTAAGGACCAGGGGAAGCCTATCACTGCTCTGGGAGGGAGGGGAAGGGATGATGTCAGGAGATGGGTTGGACACAACTAAGGGTCCTCTCAATCATGGGAGAGGGCAATATTTGGCTGAGGAGAGAGGAAGTCATCAGATGCAGCCTGGTGGAAGTTGTCATCACCCTGTGTGCCAAGACTGGGTGTCACCTACCTAGCACTCCAGAGGATATACCAAATTCTTCCTCGCTATCCAGCTCCTCATTTACATTTCTTTTCAGTTTATCTTTGAATTGGTCAGTCACACCAATACTCCCTGATCACAAGGGCTTTATGTTTTGTCCAATTCCTAGTTTAGTTGATAGTCCTTGTCCTTGTCAAAGTCTAGCCTCTGTACCACACTCTGAGCTATGACTCAAAAATTTCACTGTCCTCTAATCAGAGGCTTCTACTGTAAAAACATGACATTTTCTGAAGAAGGGTCTCGGCCCGAAATGTCAGCTTTCCTGCTCCTCTGATGCTGCTTGGCCTGTTGCGTTCATCCAGCTCTACACCGTGTTATCTCATTTTCATTAAGTGTAGTGATTCAAGAAGGTAGATCAGTACCACCTTGTCCAGGGTCCAATAGGGATAGGTAATAAATGCTGGCCTGGCCAGCGATGCCCACATTCTGTGGATGAATAACAAAGCAGGAACTTTGTTCATGTGCATAGATTCTTACAAATGTCCTGACACCACACCCCAGTGTTTTAACTATCTTCTTTTTTTATCCATACCAATTAACAACCACCAATGTTTTACCCTTATCTATTGTTGCGAAGTTGGTATAGTACTTGTGGATTGGAAGTTAGGACGTTAGAATTTGTTTGTAAAATGATAGGGGGATGAGTGCATGGTCCCTTTAAAAGATGGGCTTTTTTTTAGACTTGGAAAAAAAACATGTGCATGCAGCAGAAGCACAGACAGTTCTTGAAATTGAAACGTTGTATTAAAAGGTTATACTGTTAGAAGGCAAAGCAGCATTTTAACCAAAACAACAAGTTTTTGAATTTAACCAATTAACTTAAAGCAGGCCCTAGATACCAAAACCCAATTAAATTTAAAACTGGTGGTTTTGACGGCCTTGGACCAATCCTATTGTAAGAAATTAATAGGTCATCGAGGGTATAAAAGAAGAGGGCATTTGAAAATTGGTCTGAGAGCAAGCTGCCATCTGTTAAGAGAACAGCTCTCAACAGCCATCAGCTCTAAATTAAGAGAAAACTCACTGGCTCTCCCAGAAATCTCTAAACTCTCAGAGTAATCACCATCTAAATAAAGGTATTACGGCACTCATAGCTAATATTCCTGACACAGGAAGTTGATGGAGGAAGATGTCCCTGACTGGACGACAGCAAATGAGGCAAAGAACATTCTGGAAGACTTTTCCTGGCTGTAATTTCGAGAGATTAAGCTTTAATTTTTTATAATTAATTTGGTTTATATAAGTGGTACTTGTATCTATTGGAACAGCATATCATTAAAATTTTGTTTTATTCAGTTAGTAGTTAAGGGGGAATTGTTCGGTTTGTTAGCCATTCTGTTAAATTGTTGATTGTTAGAGTTAGATAAATAAATTGTTACTCATGGATTATAAAGTGAGTAGCAGGGATGTCTTTCATTTAACAACTCCTTTAATAGATTATGAGACGAGGTGAGCTTCTCTGAGGGTTTTGGTTTTAATTATCAGAGAGGTGTCGACAACTCCTTCGTAATATAATGGAATGCATTTGATATCAGCACCTCCTGTTTTCTGCAGAGATTATTTGGATCAGATTTGTCATCTTATCCCAAGGTGATAGTTCAGCAATTCCTGGTTAGTCGTAGATTCATTACAGCGTGGAATTAGGCCATTCAGCCCATCAGGTTTGCATCAACCTTCTGAAGAGCATCCCACCCCATCCCTGTAATCCTGCATTTCCCACAGCCAATCCACTAACCTGTACATCTTTGGACTGTGGGAGGAAACCGGAGCACCCGGAGGAAACCCACGCAGACACACGGAGAATGTGCAAACTCCACACAGACAGTCGCCCAAAGATAGAATTGAACCCAGGTCTCTGGTGCTGTGAGGCAGCAGTGCTAACCACAGTGCCATCTATGGCTACCATCGGAACAGAGTTGCCAGATCTGAAGTGTTAAGTCCACTTTCTTGCAATAGATGCTGCCAGACCTGTTGTAGTTTGCCAGCAATTTCTGGCTTTGTTACCATTTCATTCCACTCTTCAGAGGTTGAATCTCCTCGAGATTGGCCTCTACCCCTCATCCTTCTTTGTTTCCTGGGTTTCTGATGCACCTTGGGATCTGGAAAGGGTGACATTTGGAAGATGATTCCATGTGCAGTTGTTTTTCATTCTCCCTGTCTTCCAGGCAGCTCTCTTCACCTTGTG